TTTTTATTATTAATAAAATTTTAATATTTAATAAATTTAATAAATATAATATATCAATTTTATATGCTTATTTGACTGAATTGATACCAAATTGAGGCTAATTTTAGGCTGATTTATGATTATTTAAATTTTGAATTGATGCTGAATGATGCTGAATTAAGATCATTTTTAGGCTGATTTATGGTTATTTAAATTTTAAATTGATGCCGAATGATGCTGAATTGAGATTATTTTTAAACTAATTTATGGTTATTTAAGTTCTGAATTGATGCTGAATGATGCTGTATTAAGGTCAATTTTAGGCTGATTTATGATTATTTAAGTTCCAAATTAATGCTGAATGATGCTGAATTTAGGTTAATTTTAGGCTAATTTATAGTTGAATTTAAGTTCTAAATAGCTATATCTGATTAGAGTCGATCAGCGTCTATCAACACCTGTTTGTGTTTATCAAAAAATATGGTAAATCAGCCATAAATAATATCAAATCAGCCTAAAATCAGCCATCCAATTTTTAACCAAATTAGACTATTTCGACCAGTGAAAATATATTAGTTTTTTCACTAAAAATTGATACTAAAATTTTTTTTTATTAAAAATTGAAATTAATATAAAAAAATTTTTCATATTTTAATTCTTATCTCTAAAAATTGATGCTAAAATTCTTTTTAAATAAGTGAAAATAAAATTAAAACATAAAAAAATATTTTTATTGCATACTAAATTTAATTTGTTCAAGTTCTTCATAAGCTTTATAATATAAAATCTCTATTTTATTATATTTTTTGCTAAATATAAAATATGATTACAAAAGACTTATAGATAATTAGAATCATTAGTCATAACTTTTTGCATTAGTAGTTAATAATTTGAAGATTGTTGATTTTCTTCATCATGGTCTATCATAGTAAGATATAGATTACAAATAAGTGTATCTAAAGAGAATTTTAAAATAAGCTGAAATCTTTTTAGAATTTTTACAAAAATATTCTTTTGTAGTCATTCTTACCCTCCTTTATTATCTTTTGTATATTCTTTATATTTAAAATAAGCACATTATTGTTTTTTTATTACTCTTGCTAACTGATTACTATTAATTTATTATAATAATGTCAGCATAATTCTTTTTCAACTAAATTTTTATTAAGATTTTTTTCAAGAATCTTAACTTTATCTATTACAACTCTTGTGTCATTGATAAGTTCATCACAATTGTCATCTTTTAGTGAGCATTTATTAGATTTTAACATTACTATAATTATTACAAAGCAAGAATTTTAATATATTATACCATATTAATTTTTTATAAAATCAAATAATATAAACAATGTATTATGCTTATTTTCATTTATAAGAAGTTTTTAAATATTTATAACTTTTAGATTTCTCTTTCAATAGCCAGATTTCTTTGTAAAATGTTTAAATATAACCTAAAAATCAATTTTTTTTTGTTTTTTACTATTAAATTTTTTATAACACAATTAAATTAAATTAGTATAATTAGCACATACATATATATTGCTATACATCTGATATTCAGCCAATAAAAATACATATCTAAATAAAAACAATTACTTTAGTATTACATTATTTAAAATTATTTGAAAATGTGATGATTATTTGAATTTAATTATTTATTATAATTATTAAAATAAAAATAATACATATACTGATTATTATATGATTATTCAAAAAATCAGAAAGCCTGCTATGCTTTATATAATTAATTTTGGTCTATTAATATAAAGACAACAATTTTACAGTCAATTGTATACTTTAAGACTAATTAATTTTGTGTAACATTCTTTTGATTCTTCTTGTCCTATTTGCTATTCTGAATATTCTATTACAACTACTCCTTAATATATTAACTTTTGGTATTAGTTCTCAACTAAATTCTCTGTATCAATCTTCACTTTGAATACAAAAAGCAATTAAAATAGTTAATAAATAGCATGTAAACTAACTCTATTTTAAGATAAATTGAAATCTTAATTCTTAGCATTAAATACACACAAACCCCAGGTTTTTATATTGATATTTGACAGATATATAACATTTTATTTACAACTAATAGATTTTAGCGTGATCTATTTAAAGTATTATATTATATAATTGAAAACGCTTAATTCATAAATACTTAAACAACTGCTTCTTTATCTAATATACCATCTATTTTAACTTGTTCTAATATACCTGACCTATTGGATAGAGAATAATTCAACTTTAACTTATTATTTTAAGTTCAAACAAATATGGCTAATTAATAAGATATTTAAAATCTTACTAATGCTCTTTAAGGATTGACAGAATTGTTCACTTCACAAGAATAACTAGCAACAAATAGCAAAAATTTTCAACTAATCAATTACTTATAAGCCAATACTAATGCGATAAATAGCAATTATCAATGAAGTAAGATACGTGTTATTGACTTGTTTTACTTTTATAAAAGCAACCAAGATCTTATCAGATGGCTTGAGAAGTTTATATGTGTCTGCAATGCAAATGGTATCAATGATAACAAAAAAATTAAAGTTATTCCAACCTACTTAAAAAATTTAGCATCTACTTGGTAAATTGCCAACCAAGCTTTGAATAATAAAAATAATAACTGTATTATTATATAAATAGAAAATAACAATAATACTGACTTTATTTAAAACTTTCCTGCTATTTTTAGGTCTTAAAAATTAATGAAAATCTAGATTACTAAATTGAAAAAGCATTAACAGCAACCTGGTGAATCTGTTAATAATTATGCTTGCATTTTATTAGAATTATATCAAAGAGTAGAAACACAAGTTTTCCAATATTCTAATACAATGAAAGCTAGGTAACTTATTAGTAGATTAGTACCTGTATTACATCTATTAGTAAAATATTTCAATAATCAGACTTGAAATGATATACTTAATCAAGCTAAATAATATAAACTTACATATAAAAATACTAGCATAATAGAAGCATATATGAATAATATGCTAACCTATCAGAAAACACAAATTAACTTAATACTTTAAATGCTAACATTATCAATTTAACTCAACAAATACAACAAATGAATATTAGAGAAAAAAGATTTGATTCAGATTATCATCAAAATAATTATTAACAACAAAACAATCAACAAAATAATAATCAGCAGAATCAACCTTTATGAAATAACTAAACAGAACCTATTGTATGCTTTAATTATGAACAGCTTGAATATGTCAGATGAAATTGCCTAACAAGAGTAATAAATAATTTAAACAACCTGAATAATAATGTACTTGTTAATAATTTACCATTGCAAAATAATTAGAATCTAATAAATACAGCTATAACAAACATAGCAAATAATAATGCTAATCAGAATAATAATGCTGTGAATATATAGCAGTGATACCATATGAAGTCAATTTTACTGTATCATAAATATTGATGAATGATCAATCTTATTAACATCATTAGCATTTTTAACTTAATTAATATTTTATTTTATTTATTTTATTCATATATTATATTGTTATTATTTATTATATTAAATTGTAATTTATCTTTTATATTTATCTTATCGTTATAAAATAGTTTAGCATTAGATAGTAATTTTTTATAATTGTATTTTTGTATAAATAGGATAGAAATTTGTCCTTGCAAAAGGGCAGAGATAACAATATAAACTCAATAGTTCAAGTTCAAGACTTAGAATCTAAGGTTAAGAATTACTAAGGATACAAATCTCTACAATAAAATAATCTCTTTCTAAAACTACACATATTAAAAATTCTTCAACGTGTCAATTGTGTTTATCATATTTATAAGTTGTTAAAGTTATTTACTTGTCTAAAAAAATAAACGTAAGGTTGATTATAATAGGACTTATTTCACAGTAACTTAGTAGTTTCTCACACATTATTTTCTGTTATTAAGTTATAGTTACCCTAAGTTTAACGGCTGAGTGTAAGGTTAACAAATTGGTGATTCCTGCTAGGATTATAATTGTATTTATTAAACTTATATGAATATACCTACTAGTTTTGACATTCTAAAAATAATTCAAGAACATTATAAAGAAGCACACAGAAATAATTTATCTTTGAAAAAAGATGGATGTATTTTGTATACAATGCAATCCTATTAATCAAACAGTAATAAAGAATTTTAAAAAATTTTGGAATTGAATCTCTAGTGAATATAATACTACAGCATTCAGTAATTATTCTTTAATAGTATTTAAACTTTATTTAGATAGCTATCATGAAAATGCTTATAATAGTAATAAAATAACAAAAGCAGCAGTCACATTATTATATTGCTTAAATTATTACCTATACCCTGCTGATTTACCTTCTATTTTATAATATTTATTATTAATTACCCAAACTACTAAGTATTTTGAAAAATCTTTTAATACTTCTATCTCACCTCTTACTCCCACATCTATAACCTTTGAATCAATTGAAATAACAATGAATACTAAATAGTTAAAGAACCTTATAGATCACATGACAAAAAGTTTCAAAGATCTTGCTAAAAATATCAAAAGTACACCATCTGGTTCAGGTAGAAATAGTAGAAATCTTACACCAAAAGAAAGTAATATTATTCTGATAAAACCTTTCTATGGAAATGATAACAAAGATTCTAATTATTGGATTAGAAGCTTTGAAATTGCTGCTAAAGCAAATAATTAGTCTAAAGCTCGCATGCTGAAAATTATATCAGAATACTTGCATGGACTAGCTGCATATTGGTTTGAAGAAAATGACAATACTATTAATCGATGGAATGAAGATGATAATGCTACTGCAAGTTTTGTACCATTATTTTTGAAAAAATTCTCAACTAAAGAGAAGTAAAATCTATGGCACTATCAGTTAAATATACTTCGCCAAGGACCTTATGAAAAAGTAGATTTTTATGCAGAAAAATTTAAAAAATTGTTAAAGAAAGTCGACTCTTCTAGTGTCTTATTAGATAAATATACTGTGAGACTTTTTTTTAATGGATTAAGAAAGAATATCGTCCCTTTCATAGCATTTTCTTATCCTAAAAATGTAGATGAAGCTATTGAAGCAGCTAAATAAGTTGAGAGTGATCAATATTATGAACAACAATCTCTTGTACCATCCCAAACAAGTGGAAATAATAATATTATTGATAATCTAATTAAACAAATGGAATAGTTATCCTTAAACTATGCAACTCTTTCCAATATGTTGTCTGTATCACTTGAAGAAAAACCTGAAAGAAGAAAGCCAAAAGATGATAGAAATCTTATGAAAGTTTGAAATAAAAAAGATATTATTTGTTTCCATTATAATAAAAAGGACATTATTTAAAAGAATGCATATCTGAAAAATCAGTGTATTGAAGGAAATTTAATAAAAATGAAGCTAGTTATATTGGAGTTTATACTGATAGCAAAGAAGAGGAAGTTGAAAAGTAGAGGAGAAAGAAGTTTATGCTCTCTTATGAAACAAATCCTATATTACCAATAGAAAAACTGCTTAACAGTTAGAAACAGAAAAGAAAAGACAATCTGAATTCAGAAGAGAATTAAACTTAAGAAGCAGAAAACCTATTGATAAATTTATGGAAGTAGAAACTTCACAAATTATTACCCTACTCCAAAAAAGAAAGTCAAATGAGAACTATCCTAAATTGATCAAATTCCTTCTTATAATGCATCTTTTAAACCTAAGAGCTAAATCAAAATACTTGAAAAAAATATAAAAACCAAGAAATAACAAGAATTGATTTGATTATAAGGTTAATACATATAAATTTATATTCTGAAGTGATAAAATTTTTACATATAAACTTTTTTTAGTTAAAATTTAAAAGGTGATCAGGCCGGATAATGTAAACTAAAGATGTAATAGAAAGAATAAAGTTAGTATTAGTATAAAACTTTAAATTTTCTATTATAGGTCATCTGTACAATTATATGGTCAACATTAAGGAAATTCAAGGACAAATCTCATTGTTTCAAGTTATTAATTTTAACGTGAGACGTTTTCTATAAAAATAACTTTATAGATAATATTAAAATATATAAATGCTTTAAGTTTATGAAATAAAATTCCTATTATTTTTACATGTTCAAATATATATTATATAAAATTTAAAAGGTTTAAAATATTTCATTAAATTAAATATAATTCATTTCAATCAGGATAAATCAAAGAGAAAGAGAATTTTCATTTTATTATAATAAAATATAACAGCAGTTCTAAATTTAAATGCAAAATCGAAATTGTTACAATTCACTTACCTGTATAACCAGTATGTTACTTATACAAAAAAAATAATAATCTGCAATTATGTTAAGAACTCATAAGCACAACAAACCAAATAACGCCTTGATAGTCTATTAAAGTTTTTATTATTCATCTAAAAAAGGCAAGGAAATAATAAGTTAAGAACGAAATTTCAACTTTATAAAAACATAACGATTATAACCATAACATTATCATGTAAATCTTACTTAAATCTTAGAAAATCATACCAAACTGATAGATAGATTTGTAGTTCGATGTTTGAAATATTTTAATTGAATCATTAAATAACTAAAACTTATTTCTAAAGTACATCAGCTTTTGAATTATTTTTTCTCTTGATTATTATAATAATAATCTTCTTTTAAACATTCAATTCTTGTAAAATTATATATCAAATCATTCAAATTTACATATAAAAAGATGGGATTATTTTATAACTTAAAACGTTATTTTTGATTGATTTTCTATATCATTCTCTCTCTAAGGTTAAAAAATGTATTAAGTTGTCATGTATTTTAAATTTACTCAAATAAATCAATTATAGTCAGAGTTTCTAATATTCCAAAATTATAAGTGATTTTTCTATTAGAACAATTAATTCAAATATTAAAAAAAATTTTTGTCAATTACAGTCACAAATAATAAATATGAAAATTTAAAAATCTGCAAAGTTTTTTTCTATATCATACATATACAAAATGTGTATATCTTCTCAAGAGACAGTAAATTTACTTTTGGAAACAGCTATATCGATCATTTATTCGAAAGAAATCCTCTGAGTTTATTGTTAGATATTATAGTTAGAGGTTACCAGCCCTAAAATCTTTAATCAGTTCCATCCTCTAGTTATAATATTTATAATAAATTAATTAAATTAACTTTTGAGAAACTCATACATATAATAGGTTTTAAATACTGAAACTCTAAAAGGGTAGATGATGTCGATTAGCCTTGTAATATAGTTATTATTTGGTATAAATTATCTTCACATATACTAACAATATTTTAACAATAAATTAAAATATTATTTAGGATAAAAACATGAATAAAGCTTTCTTGAAAAGAACTTAGTAATTTTGCAATCATAATATTGACATCAACTGTTTAATTATCACTATCAATTTTGTTGCAGCATAAATTCAAATTTTTGAACATCAAATATTAATCTATTTACTAAGCAAAAGATATACATACGCAATCAACTCACCATTAGTAATACGATGTATTTATTTATTACGAACGTAGCTCAAAAAAAAGGTCATACTGAAGCACTAGAAGAAAGCTAATGTGAAGGTGTTTTGTCAAACATATTTGCAATTGTGAAATAGACCTGACCTGGTCCTCTCAGTTCAGGTAACTTGATTGACCTGACCTGAACTGACCTGTTCAGAGCTCTAATTGACATTTAACATATTTTCATCATTATCTATTGGTACTTGTTTTATAAATAGCTACAATTTCTCAAAACTTTCACTATCTAGTTGTTGTTTTGAAAAATATCAGTTCTTTGCTAAAATGAATTAAAATATTTTTTACTAACATTATTCCATGCTTTTAACTAAATTTAATTATATCATAAATAATTAGAGATTGTAATTTGTTAATATTAAGCTCTTGACTAAGGTTACTTATATAAACTTATTTTAAATTTGGCAAAATGTCTAAATTATAGTTTTGCTAAGTTTTTACTAAGGTTTTGATATAGTTTTACATTTTTATAAACTTTGATATAGTTTTACTTTTTCTAGAATTTTGGAGATTTTTTAATAAAGTTTAATATAATTGTGCTAAATTTTATTTTTTTCTATTAAACGACTTGCAAAATCACTTAGTTTTGTCTAACAACCTTACTCTTGACATAAATCATAAACTTTAATTCAATTTTAGCATAATAATAATACTAAAAATAAATTTTAATAAGTTTATTAATATAAAATTTAAAATAATACTAAATTTTACTTAATATAATATCTTAAAAAACTAAAATATTCCTGCATCACATAATTGAAGATGAGAAGTAATATTAAGAAAAAGAAAATAAACTTTAATATTTGTTAATATTAATTTTTTTAACAATATGTGAAAAATAATTATCTAATAGAAATAAAATATTTTATCTATCTTTTTTCATATTCTCATCTAATTTTTTAAGTTAATGCTGAAAAATAGGTATTTATATTTAATTCTTATTATTTTATAATAATTAACAGGTAGTATTTCTTTTTTAATTTCTTTAAATGCTTGAGGATTTTAATGTTTATTTATAAAAATTAGTATTAACTTACTGTTTAATATATTACATGATAATAAAATAGTAACTCAAGATTTTAATTTTTTTGTATCTGCCATGATCTATAAATAAGTATTTTTAATGATTCTAAATCTAATGATATATATCTACTAATAGAATTTCTAAATGATATTTTTTAAATCTTTCTAAAACTTAGTAAAACTTAGTAATTTTTTAAGTAATATATTTGTTACTTCTTCTTATTTAGTAATTTGATAAATATAATATCACTTTTTAAATTTGAATAACCATCTATCAAATTTATTAAAATTATTAATATTTAAAATATTAACTATTGCATATTCTTTGATTTTCAAAACTTTGCCTATAATTATCAAATTTATTTAATTATTTTATCAAATTATAATACTAAAGCTTCTTTTAATTAAGAAAAATTTCTGTAATAGTATTTTGAATAATATCAAATTTATTAGTGAAATTTTAGTGTTTTAAACTCAAATTATTCTTTGCTAAATATAAACTTCTTTTTTGAGCTTTAGTTAAATTAATTCTTTTTTTATTTATATTATTATTAGGAAAAGAGAATTGAATGCTTTTGGGAATGTTGTCTAAAGGCAAGCCTTAGACCAGTATTAAAATGAGCAGATTCTATTAGAATGAGTGTCTAATCACAAACTCGTAAGTCTGAATATTAGCATTAGGCTACTTTGTAATCTTAAATATACATATAATTACTAGTAAAATTTCTAGTATTTTGGATACTGCAACTATAAAAAAAAAAAAATTTATTCATTTTAATATTAAGTTAAAGTATTTTAAAAATTTTACCAGTTAAAGTTATAATAGCATAGATTAATATAAAGCAAAAATTTTAATTTTGGTGAAAAGGTCTTAGAATCTTATTTTTTTAACAACATTCCAAATATTTTCTCCAGTTATTGATCTAGCTACTGCTTATTCTCTTCCTGCTACTTCGGTTGCTAAGCATTTTAAAGAAACTATCACGATGACTTAATAGTGATGATTAACTAATAAATTATAAGATGAATATGTAAATTTAGAAATCAATATGAAGTATTTTGATAGGTTATTTTATTTTCTTAGTTTTCTTATCTTTGTAATATTATAGTATTATAATAATAATTTTAATACTATATACAGTTTATACCATATAGATGTTAGTGTCAGGTGATTCTATTTTATATAGTGAAAGCTATGACTATTTTCAAAAAGGAAAAAATAGGTATAAATTTAGTTAGCTTTATGTAGAAACTATAAGGGTCATTTTTATTTATATTGATATCAATATCAATATTAATATCAATTTTAATATTAATATTAATATTAATTTCAATTTCAATATCAATATCAATATCAATATTAATATTGATAAAAACAACAGTTATTTATAGATGTATTTTTTTTTAAAAAAAAATTGGGATTGAATGATTACAATTACTAATTAAAATAATAAATAAAGATGGTCACCACAATTAAAAAAAATGGCATAATTGAGTTGCAACTTGTGACACAATTAAATTTCCTTATGATG